CATTTTGTAGAGCGTGTTCTGCTGCATCTTTTCACACTAGAGACACATTTTTAATCATGTATTTTACTAAAGAAAAACTAACCATTCAAATCGAGTCAGGACTTCTGGGCCACCCTTTATTCTATTTATTTGGTTCTGTGATTAAGAATGTCTCAATCTTCACATATACAATATTATTTCTGTGTTGATCAACACCATGTAGAGAGATCTTTTGCTAGCAAAGCTCGACCCTCAATTCTGATTCTATAACAATCCAGGTGAAGCTCACTTTACAAGATCCATCATCTTCTTATAAAATCCTGTGGCAAGATCTTACTGAATGATTTTACATGATCTTGCGACAGTTTGAAACTTCTTGTCACAAGATCTTACAAGATCAGCTTATGTGTAGTGACGAGATAATATAAGATCTTGTGACAAGAAAATGACAGATCTTGTATGGTTTGCTAGTGAAAATGTTGAACTCATATTAATTCTTTGTTACAAGATCATGGAGAATCTGTTTCTTTCTTCTCATCTTGTAAGAATATAAACTTGAAGTGATGACTCATTCTTACCACATAAATTTTGCTACAATAAATAGTATATATGTTGTAGTCAAAATTCAAATTCCGCCAGATTTTAAGTTTAGCTAGCGATGATCACCCAGAAGTCAAATTAAGATTTGAATCATTGTGATTCGAATAGACAAGAATTTTTCCCTTCCAAAACCTCAATACGCATAATAAAAGATGAAATATCAAGTTCCAAGCCAAAATCAAGATCATATGCTTAATGCTAATCTTGTCTAGTCGAATTTTAAATATCATAATGACAGCTCTTGGTTGTCCGTGATCACTCATCGGTTCACTTCACCGCGAAAAGGTGGCTATGTTCGAAGTGGTACCTAAAAGAACTATTTTTGATTGTTTTTTGGCTTTTGTTATTTTATAGTATTTTTAAGGTTAGTTTTTATAATTTTCGGAACAAAATTAAGCCTAAAAAAGCGTTATCCTATGTACACTACATTGTTTCAGTGAATCGTAGCAGTAGAAACAGAGAAAACGCGCATTCTGTTTAAAATTTTTCTTTTTGATTCGAGCTCGGGTTTGCTTAGTTTTGAAGAGAAATGATTACTCTACGAACTTAAAACAATAAAACCTGAATAAATTTCCCCTTCTGAATATATTGAAAGGAAAAGACCAAAATTTAGGGATTTTCGACGATATGACAACAATTCAATCCTGACGTCACTTAATTTGATATTAATGAACTTTATCCTACATGCGAAGAAACAGCACACTTGCAAGTACGTATACAAAAACTTACTCAAATGCGTTTTGGTATTTGTGCGACTGATAGAAGAATTTTAATTTCTTCTTCAAAAAAATGAAATTTTCTATTTTTTTTTTGAGTTTTCAATAGTTCCTCATCCAGCTGTTCATGTTTCACCTTTACACGTTTAAATAGAACGTTTGAAGTATTTTTGTAGAGAATTGAACAGGCTATCTTTTCAGAATATATATAGTATAGAACTACCGTGAAAAGACTATATTTTACAAAAAGGATCAACACAATCGGACTTAGGTGAGAGGCAAAAACCAGAAAACACTGAGAGGTCGGAAAAAACAGAGCAAAAAGATCAGGTAAAACTACCCGTAATTACTGAAAATCTTTCTGAATGCAAGCTTCCTAGAGATATAACTGAAAACTCACCTTCGACAAACTTCTTGGCTCTTACCATTATATCAGTCATATTAGCGATAAGTATGAGGTGATAGTAAAACATGATAATACCTACAGATACACACAGATAGCTAGCGGTGGGTGTCTGTAGGTGTTATCATGTTTTACTATTACACCATAAGTGTATGCTCTCTGGAGTTTTTTTACATGATCTGATTTGATTTTGAGTCAATATGACTTTTCATCGTTTTGCATTTATATAAATGCAAAATAATTGAAATTTTTTGTCATGTGGCACAAAATGTGATATATCCACAAAAAGATTTTCACTAACTTTTTACTTCAGGCAAGTTGTTTAAAATTAAACTAACTTTAACGACTTTAGAATAGATAACCGTCATCGAAAAGATTTCATAATGGAAATATAACAGGTTTGGTTTTAGGAAACCGTATTTAGCATTCCTACCAACGTGTTTCACCCCGCAACATTCTGCAGTATTATGTGTGAACATCTTCAATTTGTTCTTTCGGGATTACAGTTGCTCGCACTATCTCACCACACCTACAATAGAGCCGAATATTTCATTTTTCATCACAATATTGGATATTACAAGAAATGTTACCAGCACAAGTTCATCCATTATTATCATCTATTTGACACAATGCATGCATAGCATGTAAGAACGCCATTTTTTAAACGCAAACTACTAAAGTTAGCGGTTGCATTCAAATGACACCGCTAGATTGTAGGGTACAGTCAAGTTTGGGAAAAGATCGGTTTGTCAGTTGAAGTCAGACATGTATGAAATATCCGATTACAGGTTTTATCGATTTTAAGTTTATAATAAGTACAAGAATTTAAAAGATGCTAGAAAACTAGCATAGCAAAGTAGAATGGAATCAGTTTATAAAAAATGCACAAATGATCCCAAATTAATTTTTCTCCGTAGAATAGATTATGGAAGAATCATTTTTTTCTTTATCATACAAAACAAATTCCGATTCAAGAGACTGACTAGTCGTTTAAGATCTCTCGTCATACGAAAATTTTTTGTACATGCATGAAATCTTTTATTCTTTGTTAACTCTAAGATTTTTATATTGTATAATGGAACTGGTTTCATAAAACCGAGTCTTATAATTATCCTGAGTATTGATGATGCCAGTTTGACCTTTTTTGATCTAACATTTTCTCACACCATCATTAAATCATTGCATAAATAATGCATGCATACTTTTTTAATCTTCATTTGCATGTACAAAAAAATTGTGTTAACTAACATCCACAATCATCCCGAACCACAGGGTAAAAAATAACGTGTCACTGATCTCTGAGAAAAATGTGTTGCAAACGAATGTGTTGCGGTCGAAGTGTCGCAGTACTAAGGTTCTAAAGATGTAGTTTTAGCACATACGTTAGGTCCTAGGAAGGAAACCATGCCGCTCCTGCCTCTGTTTTAGCGTGCTTTAGTATTCTCCGTTTGATATTTCTTTGCCATCTCTTAGTCTTGAACCAGCCTTAGATGTCGCTAATAAAAGAAAAATATAACTCATTTCTTTGATTTAGCGATTTTCTAAGACTTGAAACCTACGTCCTTTGAGGCAAATAGAACTCAGTTGTTCGTACTTTTTGACCATCGCCTGAGTTCATGCAGCTTAACGTAGGCTTTATAACTAATCCAGTTCTTGGTTACGTGCTCTCAAAATTATTAAACTCTTTTGTGCCCATTGGAGATTGCAGACAGATTCGTCTCATCGACATTACATATAGCGACCAAAACAGTCTACAATTAATTTAAAAACGAATAAGAGACGAAAATACTAAACTCCCATTATTTTCTATACGGTTAAATGAATGTGACGTAGTCTTAACAGAAAAATGTCTCGCTACTGGTACCCAGTGGTGCAGGCGAATATATCGCGTTTTGCGACACATGCCATACATTATTTTTAGTGTGGCAGCAATCAAAAAGTAGATTTTGGTGCGTATGCATCATATTCTAGAACAAAGAAACTACAATCGTAGCATGTTTTCCTATAACGTCTGATACTTAAACTATAATCTTTTCTGTATAATAAAGAAAAATGTTATTTTCCGAAATCAGTTCTACAATAATAGTTTAATTTCTAGAAATTGGGATGTTTCTGCTATTATCCTTGTAATAGTGATGTTTCATGCTATTTTAACATTTTTGAGACTTTAAAGTTGGAATTATAATAAGTATCTTGACAAAAATGTCTGTAATCTTTTGTTCTGATTACTACGATACATAAAAACTACGATTTCTTGACTGATGTCATTGCGTGTAACTGTTGAGTCAGAGAGTAATATACTTCAACTTCTGAAACGAAACATTTTCAATAAAGCTTCAAGTAGTAGATGCATGAATTTATAATGTCAAACATATTATAATCCTTTCACTGTTTGTATTCTGTTCACAAGTCTTTTAGTCTGTTTTTCAATTTTGAAATAGTTTGATAATTATTCATGATTATTAATAAACTAGAAATCCAAATTAATAGGAAACTAACGAACTGTCATAAACTCAGAAGAGAAAAGTAATTTGTTTTTAATATCGCATAGTACAAAAGAAATAAGGACGAGATGTGATGAGATTTTTGTGATAGATCTGGTATTATTTGGGAGCTTAATCGATGTTAGATACTTTTTCTATTTCTTATTGACTGTCTAACGGGTGGCGCAAAAAAGAATTATAGTCTCAGTATTTTCAGTTTTTCGCCTCTTCTTTATAATTAATTGAGCAAATTTTTATTAAAAGATAGCCGGTTCAATTCTGCGCTACAAAATATGTTTACTATTTTATTGCAAAATCCGAAGATGGAAAATGAGATAAAAAATCCTATCAAGTACAAAATGGAGAAAAAATAAGTTAGACAACCGCCTAAGTTTTATTCGCTAAACATTCGAGAGAGAAAAAAAGCTGAAGTAGCCATCGTGTAAGCCTTGAAAAGCTGTATCTTCTACCTATGATTAAAAACTGTTTACAGTTAGAACTGAAGGCATAATGATTACGTTTTTTAAAACTTTCTAAAAATGATGATTTTTCACCTTCGAATTTTGCAATAAAATAGTAGGGCAATAACATACATGGGGCGTTCAAAAAGTTCTCGGACTGATTTTATTTTAAAAAAGTAAAAGGTTTTACAGTGTTGGACTTGTTGTCTGTTTATAGATCATACCATCCTCTATCCGTAGACATTACGAGCTCGATCAAATATTTTTGTGCTAGGATAATATATTTTTTAGATCACATTGAAACAAATGGTGCAGATTAAATAACACTCCGTATTTTAGCATATTGAACGTTTTACTATAAAGCATAAGAGTGAAGCGTTATACGAATAATAGTAAAAAGCTCCAAAATGGGTAAAATTGTAACATTTTTTTCAGAGTTCTCAAGTTTTCTTTTAAAACACTTGATCAGATATCAAGATACACTTTGTAGCAAAACGAGTCAATATGCTTTTTGTAGAGAATTTCAAGATGTATCTTTTGCAAAAAGATTGATTTTTGGCACACCACAAAGCTTTTTGTTATTTTTTTTAAAAAATCAGTCCAGAAACTTATTTGATTTTCTTTTTGTTTAAATATCACGCCTTATTGTATTTCAAATAGATATTTTAAATGAGAATGACATTCAAATATTGTTCTCTACTTCCGTTACTGTGTACCTATTAGACGTTAACAACAGTTCTACTCAACGAGTCACACTCTTTAGATACATGAAACGAGAAATAGTTATATTTGTGATTTTTGTTGAAGCGCTCGATTAAGATTTGAATTTAACATTATACAAGCAGGTGAATAAAATTAGCCTATTCGATCCGAAACAAAACAAACGTTTTCTAATTGTTCCTATTCAAACCCCACGTACGATTTCATTCCTTTCAAACTCAATTGTCTCGATTTTGTTTTGTTAAAATATATAAATGATTTCAAATTGTGTTTCTTTTTTCTTTTTTTTTTTAAATTAACAATGAGTACAATGGCTTTTATTTATCGAGAATTCTTAATTCGTTTCCGGTCCCATATAGACTTCAATTTTTCTGTTTTTTCGAACACTTGCTTCTTCTTTTTTTTTGATTCATCATACGTTATTAGAGAGAATATCTTCCTCCTTTTTTTTCTTTTTTCGCCATCCTACAAAATATCACTACTAATATATATAATCAAAAGGGTGCTTGCTAAATTTTACATAAATATGTTCATCGTCGTTGTTGTTGATAATTGACAACATATACTTTTTTAATCAGAGAGATAATAACATACACTAGCACAAGATTATTTATTATTTATTTTATTTATTCATTCATTTTAACAACTTATATACGAAAATAATTCTTTACTATGTGGAATTCATTTTCAATCATTTTCACGACGGTTCTATTAGCCATTGTTTGTTTTCATTCATCGGTAAGTCCCAGGCATAGATAACAGTATAATGCTTAAGTCTTTCAAATGGTCTGATAAAAGTAAAATTCGAATGCAAACGTTGAATTTAATTTCTGAGAATCTTATTGTATAAACATTGCACAGTTTTGGTTGTCATATTTTCCGGTTTTCCTAAAAAGAGGCGTTATTTTAACAGTTGTGTCTCTTCCACTTTTTTGCGGATCTCCTGGTTTTGTGATATCTCTACGTTTTGATTTCAAGATAAATTGTTTAATGCATTGAAAAAGATAGATGATAGAATTCGCATAAGGAAGTATCTTATTACAAGACGAAAACATGCTTTACGCTTTTCTGGTTTCATTTTCTACAGTTTGAAACTTTTGCATATAACATCTCTGACTTCAAAAGAAATATCAAAAATTGTAAAAAGAACATAACCGTAGGCTCATTATTTAGCCAATTCTAGCGTTAAGTTGAAGGCGGATGATGACGATTGATCCCCATGAAGTGAAAAAATATGTGTATATACATGAAAAAGTGTTGCATGGTTGGGACATCGTTATGTGAGACTGATGGGCGTCGATGCCGCACTCTATTAAATACAATTTGAAGTAAAAGTATTTATAATAAAAAAATAATCACTGGCTAAACAAGTTTCAATGAGGTACTCAGCACCGACGCTATATCTACACTTGTCTACACTAGCTAATTATGAGTGCCAAGCTAGTGCAGTATGACAAGTTGCGCGCGCTGACAGTTCTATATCAGTAGCAAATTTTAAGAATAGATTTCAAGAACGCCCTCTTTTTATGATTTCTCCACATCCTAAAGGTTCCAGTGAAGTGATACGCTGACGGATCTTCAGTACTTAGAGAACTTCGCCTCTGAATACGTCTATTTGTTTCAATCACATTGCTTATTGTTTCTAGTGGACAGCGGAAGATAATTCCGAAGAACAATTCTATTCTGACAGTAATCTTCTACCCATTGACGACGATAGCTTAGACTCTAGTTTTAAGACACCATCATTTTATGATCGATTTATACGTTCAACAAAAATGCCTAGAATTGGACGTTCAGCTGATTTCGATGACTTACCACTACCAATAAAAAATTATCTGTTATCGTCATCATCATCATTAGGATATTATTTACCCGGAGAGAACACATTTGAACAACGAAGTGTCATGTTTCCTCGTATTGGAAAACGTGCATTCCATAATTTATTATGGGCAAATGGTCGAGCAAATCCCCATCGAGTTTTAGATGCACAAGGCAGGTATTTAACGACGAATTACGATTTACAGAGAACAGCACCAGCACGTTGGCGTGGTAAAAGAGCTATTGCTGTTAATACGGATAATTTCCAATAAAAATAATATATAAAGTTTTTTATGTACTCCGTTTTCACACAAAGGGACAAATGTGTAACTTTCAACAGTATCTAATAAAAAATTGCCATACAGATAGAAGGCTATGCATCCATGTTATTTCATTCTCGAAGTGTTCAACACGGGAAAAAAGAATTAGAGTAACTCTGCGGTAAATCCGGTCAGTGTCAAAAATCTTTTCAATATTTCGCTCATAGCTAACGATAAGTCATTTTTAACCAGAGAAACCACGGTTTTGCACATATAGATAGATCTGACTCTTAGCTATCGACTGATGCAAAAATCATGTAAAAATTCATTAGAGGTAATTAGTTCTGATCAATCGCTTGCTGTTAAATGACCGGATTTACTTCATTTGGGGTAATTCCGATCAACACAGCCAACATGGGTGGTACAAACTAAATTAACTTTTTTTCAATGGTAAACTTTCACCTTTGTGATTAAAAATTAGACTGTCATATGCAAAATTGTGCGTTCTATCCACCTATCTGATTTCCAGCAGAGTCGTACTTACCATTAATTAGTTAGTTACAATTGGAGAAATCAAAAGACATAGTCATTTTTATATATATATATAAAAATTGGAGTAATTCCGGTCACTACCACTTTTCATGGAGTAATTTCGATCACTTTGTTCAAATTGCATGGTATAGACAGAAATCTGTTTCCATCAATTTCCAGAAGCGGGTTTTGCTCTAGATCCAGTGATAAAGTTACACAGAACACTTTAATCTATCATACGATGTGAAACTTGGGGAAAAAGAGATCCTCTTGAACACATTCTATGCTTGGAAAGAATTTATCGATATTCAACAAATATTTTATCGTTTTAATTGATCTTACAATCAACTTAGAAGGTTAATTAACAATGGCACCAAGAAAAAGTTGAACTATTCATACACAGCAGACGACGCTCTGCACTGTGCACCAAAACTTTTTTAAAAGAAATAGTTTTAATAAATAGCTCAAAGTACTCACTCAAGTGTGACTCAAGAGCCATGATATTAGCGACTTCTAGTTTTATGCGCTCGTATGTCTCACTGAATGCTGATCACCTAGCAAGCTTGAGCTTCTTTTGATTGATGGTTCAGGAGATATGAGTGTTTCAATCTTTTTCAAAAGAATCCATATAACTCCTGACCCAAGATAGATGAAGATTTTCTTTACTACCAAATTGTAGCCCTAACTCTCGTCTATCTATGGCATAAATTTTGTTCGTTGGTTCTAATGGTCACTGAAATATAGTAATTTTACGATCGAGAGTCACTTTTGAGATATAAGGTTTATGCTGAAAACAACTTATACTTCAGCCTAGGAGTTTTTTCCACTTCAGAATAGCGTTAAATACTCTGCAGTGTCTTTAGATTATTTACACAAAGTTTGAAGGTTAGCTATAGTATGGTTCGAGAAATTCATTGAAAACGAGCAACCACTATTGAAACATACGTAAGAGCACTGAACTAAGGGTCATTCTTTCTAACATAGCTTCTACGATTAATGTGCACCATAACCGTGCAAAAATACAATTAAAAAAACATATTGTAACAAAACGCCTAAATGAATCATTATTTAAAAAATATCAACGTCATTACCACACCCAGTCTGTTTTCGTCAGTTTCTAGTAAAATTGCTATAACTCTGAGTGAAAGTGAGAAGTACAGTTGAAATTTTTATCTTTTGTAGAGATTTGTTTCTACTTCAACTGCATACTCCTCTGAAAATACTAAAAATGTGCTTTTCTCTTTTTTTTTCCTTTAACAACAATTTGTAGCTATAAGCTGAGAAAGAAAGATATTAAAATTTTTTTAATTGAAAGTTAATCTTTCAGTTTCAACAAAAATCTCAAATTAAAAATCTTTCTTTCTCAGCTTATAGCTACAAATTGTTGTTAAAGGAAAAAAAAAGAGAAAAGCACATTTTTAGTATTTTCAGAGGAGTATGCAGTTGAAGTAGAAACAAATCTCTACAAAAGATAAAAATTTCAACTGTACTTCTCACTTTCACTCAGAGTTATAGCAATTTTACTAGAAACTGACGAAAACAGACTGGGTGTGGTAATGACGTTGATATTTTTTAAATAATGATTCATTTAGGCGTTTTGTTACAATATGTTTTTTTAATTGTATTTTTGCACGGTTATGGTGCACATTAATCGTAGAAGCTATGTTAGAAAGAATGACCCTTAGTTCAGTGCTCTTACGTATGTTTCAATAGTGGTTGCTCGTTTTCAATGAATTTCTCGAACCATACTATGGTTAACCTTTCCATAGATTAGCTCTACTTTTTTAGGGTACTGAAGTACTGACTAAATGCTGGTTTTAACATTTTACTTCTCGTTGTTTGACTATATTGCTCAAGAGATATATGCGTTTTACCCTTGATCTATCTAAATATATCTCTCTACTTCTAGTAAAATTCATTATTAGAAAGGTCTTTATTTGAGTCATCTATCATGTGAATGGCGTGGCCAAACTCTCATTAGTTTCTATACTGTTCAGGATATCCCATCGTTTTTGAAAACCCGCATTTTGAAAAAAAAACGTAATTTGGTTGAGAAAATATTATTTTGACCCGGTATTTTTGGATGAATAAATACTTCTCAATGAGTCGAGATAAGTTAGACGCAAAACTCTCGAATCGACGTAGTTTCTTATCTTTTACGTTGATGTAGAGTTTAGCGCTTAAATTTTTACATCTAATTGATTTCAACCTTTTCAATGTTTGTTGATTATTGTCTCCAAGTTAAACGTTAGTGACTGATCAACTTTTGAGATGAATTGCGGTATCATGAAAGATAATGATAGGACTACCGTCAGCATCTGGCACTTCATGTGCTTTGCAACTTAAAACGAATACCACATTCCTAGCTATCTTATCAGCTAAAGCTAACTGTCTTTGTTATTTAATCTATGAATTAGTAGAATGATGGCATATTTCTATTACTCATTCGTTATTATTATGGATGTCGTATTTTGTTCAAGTCGAAGTTCTTTATGGAAAGCTATTTCTTATGTTGCACTTAAAAGGCAATATTTGATACGAAAATTAACAGCAAACTGGCAATAGTAACAAATGTCGCTTGTACAGTATTCAAATATTTTCGTGTTAGCCCTAATAATTGTACCATAAAAAGATGTTTGATAAAAAAGGTTTGTAACATTATAAAATATAATAACAACAAAAACGGATGAATGTCATCTGATTTATTGTACCACAACATTGTGCTATTTTTAAATAATCTTCACGTTGCATCCTATACAAATTAACAACTATGACAACAAAATAAAATGATAATGTAGGAGCATTATTCTATAAGCCTAATGCTTGAACAAGAACAGTACGATCAAATTTGATCAGATCGATATTTCCAATAGCCATCGTCGATTCTATAAATCACTAAAAATGACCATAGTAAAAATGTGTCCGATTCGTCATTTGTATCGTGTAATTGTTACAATATGTAGCTGTAGGAAATATCATATGAAATTTGAGATATGATTGCAAAACATAATGCATATCTATCGATTACTAATTCATTACACTTAAAAATGTTGATGAAAAGAAAGAAAATATGTTAACGTTCAAACAGCTCGGCAAATAGACGGACTCACTTTTATTTTCAAAATAAATTCGACTAGCGATTAAACAGTGCATTTTTCTTGATAACTTCCCACTCAAGCTTTTTAAACTAATTTGAACTAATTTGAAAAAGTTTCACATTAAATTCATTCAAACTACTTTTTCCGAAATTAAAAATTAATTTGAATTGATTTAATTCGATAAACTAATTTGAATTAATTGCCAGCTAAAGCGAAGAAAACGTGCTGTTTCTCTGAGTCTCGGGTGTTGTTCACTTACTGTTATTTGCCAGATCCACCCTATTACCATTACAATCTCTAAATATCTATTAGTAGTATTTATAAATTAGTTTATCGAATTAGATTAATTCAAATTAATTTTTAATTTCAGAAAAATTATTTTGAATGAATTTAATATAGACTGAACAATATGAGACTTTTTTTGAATTAATTCAAATTAATTAAAAAAGTTCCAATAGGCTGTGAGCTTCTCATACTACTATTACTGACGTTTGATCTTATGTTCGCAGGATGAAATTATTGAAAGCATCGCTTGATTTCAATCTAACCTAATTTGAAATCTCCAATAGATCGTCAATACTAGATCGTGATTAGTAGTGACGACACCATCGGAAGGACTTAGTGTGCTCAACAGCACCCGCACGAAATATTCTTGCCCAGATTTCCTCTGTAGCAAATTTTCATTTGCTTCCTTTTTTCCAAGCTAAAGATTTCAAATTGTGGAAGAGAGGGGACAAAAATTGTTTTTGCTCCCTCTCTTCCATGAAAAAGACGAAGATTGCCACTATAGTGATTAGACTTTATTAACTTTGGTAAACTAAACGTCTACGCGTTCGTGCGTATCGATATCCGCGGTAGGTCTATTCACCACCACGACCTCACAACAGCCTCTATACAATATTCTGTGGCTGTGAAGTACTGAGAGTAAAATTTTCTCCAGTACAAATACAGCTTTCATCACGAGCTTCTTCAGACAAAAAGTGATGACCATACAACGTATCCTCAGGAAGCAATTCTTTATTGCGGCAGTACAGTCTATGCGACTGCAACATCAGATACTACCTTAATCTAAAACTATATTTTTTTGAATAATTTCAAACAGGGGCTTCTGTCCTATGATATTCTCGTAGCAAATTGTTTCAAACAAAAATAGTAAGCACATTTCTCGATTTCGAGAGATTGTGACTGGAAAAGAAGGAATTGGAGATGAAAAGCTGGAGATAACAATAGAGGCGGGAAATGCGACGGACTACCCAAAAGAATGAATGATGGATAACAGGTTGTGTGAACATACAGAGAGCGTTTTGATGCGACGGATGAGTTTGTTTTATGGGAAAAATTCGAATATTTTTAGGTACAAAATATTAGCGGATACAATTTGCCTCAAGCCGCTAAGGAGATGGAAGCCCGTTTCTGAAGTGATATAAGTTGTTGTCATCGAGATTTTGAAACACTTATAACTGTTGAACTGACATTTTTTTCCAAGTCACTGGTTCTTCTATCATTAATTAGGTTACGGTTACACATGTGCGATTTTTACTAGCAAATAAAATGATTAAACAGCTTTTCTAAAGCTTTTATTTGATCCAAACTGAACAAAATGGTAGAAGTGTTTTTGACTATTGTAAGTTCAGAAAGTATATCATATTCTCAATAATTCAAATGTTTTGTTTCCGATTTCTTTCTTCCCCTACATATTCCGAGGTCATAACTGGTTATCTTTGAAGAAGAAAGAGAATGTGCAAAGTGATAACTCTTTTCCTTGTATCTGCTTACTCATGCATAACATTTCTTTCTGATATATGATGAGAGAGGAGGTACATGTTTTGTACAAACGCTATATTCAATAAAAAAACATGTTGTACAACACTCAAATTTCAAACGTTCAAAATCTTTATGTTCTAACTGAACAACCAGAAGTTTATTCAATTGTTACAATACCCTCGATACCGCAAAATACAATTGTATCTCAGTTATTGTACGAACCTGTTCAGACATTTCTTAATTTACCTCAACAAAACTTGAATATATTAGGTGTAAGAAATCAATATCCTTTTCAACCAAGAATTATTAGACAAACAAACGAACGACCTCTTTTCGCTTCTCGACATTTTTCTACATTACCAACAGCAACACAAAACTCAAATGGTTCTTATATAAGTACATTTACTCCCCAATGTTCAGCCCCACCTGAGGATGATGATAGTAATAAAACAGAAAAACCCCATGAAACATTAATTTCAACTTATAAGGGTACGCCAACACCTCTGTCAACTGTTCTTCGTCCTGTTGTACAAACTCGACAACAAAAAAGTCGACAGCAAACAAAACCACACTCACAAAAAACTGAAGAAGAAAATCATGATGATTTATTGGATAAAAATCTAGCAAAAACGGGTTATAAACGGGTAGTTGTCGATGCGGATGGAAATTGTTTTTTCTCGGCTATTGCCATTGAATTAATTGATTTTTTTACAAAAGACAGAGAATTTCGTTCAATTATTAAACGTCGTACATTACTAGATGATAATTCATTAGAAAATTCTATTATATTAGCGAGAATGTTAAGAAAATTATGTTATAATGAATGGAAAACAAACACAGAGAAATATAAAGCGTTCATTCAAAATGATTCGAATAAAATTACCAATATTTTAGATGAAGCAAAAAAGTTCAGAAATGATAAATATCATAGTTCTGAACTTGGTGATGCGTTGCCATTGACTTTAGCCAATATTCTTGGTGTTCGCGTTAAAATCATTACATCAATTGAAAATTGTCCGATTATTGATGTCTCACCAGATGATCATCAAACAAACTGTAAAAACTTGCCGTTTATTTCTCTGGCGTATAATCAGTCTGGCGAGGGACATTACGATATTGCTGTCAAAAACACAACATAACCAATATCTTACATACATTTGATCTGATAATTGATTGTAGTATATAGCACAATATTTGTACAATATTTTAACGTTTGCTTTTCAATTTAAAAAACCTATGATACATGAACTTTTTTTTATCATATTCATTGATGTCATTAGTTCTCATAATCGTACACATAGGTCATTTGTCTAGATTCTTCAGCTATTTCCTTTCAACTATTTCCATTAAGTTTTTATTCACAGTTACAGCGTTCGATGAGACTTTCTTTGGTTTCTTTAACTATGATGGAGGCGTTGAAAAAGCATAGGTTTTCAACATCTTTTCATCGTCAGATTCACTAATTCTAGTTATATTTGATCACATATGTGAAATTTTAGCTAATAATACCTGCGGCATTAGATGAGCCACTACTTGATTTCATAGTCCTTTCGTTCTCTTTTCATCCACAGTATTTTGTTTTTCATAATTTGCATTTTTCGTATAACCATTGTCCGTTTTTAACATCGTATGTGTATCTTTTATCGATCGGTTTGACTTGTCCGCTTCCATAAGTGTATAATCATCTAAAAGATAAAATCTCCTCCTCCCAGCCCTGCCTCGCCTCCTCCGTTGCTCAAGCCATTTCTTCATTGGTAGTTTTAAGAACAAAACGGTTATTATTAAGGCGTTCTATCGGCGCTGTTTCAAATCAAAAGACAAGATCATGTTTACAACCGTTCAAAAAACTTATTTGCATTGAGATGATAAAGCCCGAGTAGAGTTTATCTGAGATTTTAGTGTTGACTACAATTATATTTCATTTTTGCAAGAAAATGATAGTCACTTTTTCTTTTTCTTCTGTTACTTCATGATCTATTTTAATTTCCTAATACATTTAGCAAACAAGACTTCACATTAATGGGTTGAACATACGTTTCTCATCAACATCCATCAATAAATTCGGCATATCGACACAGTTCCAGATTGATAAACATATAACTTTAAGCAGTTCATAGTTAGTGGATATCAACATTTCTTTTTTGTTTAGTTTCGATTGTGCATAATCATTGCAAGTTCTGCTATACGAACTAACATTTAAAGAACACGGAATGTTTATCTTATGTTTGAAAAAAAGTCAGACTTAGTTGATATTTTTATAATAAAGAAAGTAAGGTCAACCTTTTCACCATCGTCTATGTCATCACAGATCAGTATATTTTATCATGTCCAAAAATCTACGTTATATTCCTGCATACATCATATGAGCGATCGCTTCCTCTAGCTATTTCACCAAGTATTCTTTCAATTACTTACCTATCTTGATCCGTAACTAACTTAACGCCTGTTACCATAAATCAGTTTTTCATCAAGCAGAATGAATTACATTTATAAAAAGCACCCAAATAGTAAATTTAAAAACAATCTTTTGTTTATCAAATAATACAAGATATACATATAGACACACACACAAACGCAAGACTAATATTAAAACATACAACAGTGCCATTCTCTCTAACAGTAAAAAAGGTAAAAGTTTCCTAAACATCATTCTCTCAAACTACTACAATAGTATATTATATACAGAGAGTTCTCAGTACTGGTTTTTGTCAATGCCACAATTTTGAGAAATAAACATAGCATAACAATAACAAAAAAACGACTAAACAAACAAGTAGAGAAAATCATTTTTTTCATTGAATGATCTCGTGATATCTGAGGAGAGAGAGAGAGGAAAAGACTAATTATAGCCAAAATAAATTTTTGGCAAGAAAAAAATCTATTTTTTTATTAATCTGACGTCATCAAACGATCTAATAGATTATCGAGACCAACTGTTAATGTCAAAAAATGAGATAACGTCGACGTATGTCGTTGAGATGCTGATGGCGAACCACTAGAAAAAAGAAAAAGAATAGATTCAATTACCTCGCAATGACTAGTTACAATCTAGAAGAAGATCTTGTATTGCGGCTACTGTTACCGATTTAGAGTGCTGCCGAATGGCAGTTTTATTAACCCAATATCTCTTCGGCAGTTGACAAGCTTCTGACATAGTCACGCATATCACTACTGGTCATCAACCACAGCTCTAGCCAGAAGGCAATTTGTTTCCGTTTTGACGCAGCGCTCTTTTCGGTCAGTTGTTTGAGCTCTAATCATTTAATCTCTCCACACTCACTAATCATGTACTAGATTTTCGAAAAATCACGAAGGTTAACCTGAGGAACGAACAGAGTCATTCAAAGTATTTGTAAGTAAAATTACTTGTGAAAAAATATCAGAGGCTGGCTTCATTACTTTGTCTCAAGCACTTTTTTAAATACTCGGCTTCAAGTAAGTTACATCCACTAGAGTTGATTTAAGATAAGCGCCAACAGTTTTGATAAAAAAAGTGCTCCTTTGTTCATCAAACTACCTTTCGAATGAACTTACCCGAAACTATATGAGGGTGTCGATGCTCTTGAATGGACTAATGTATCACATTTTTCTTTTAACAATGTGTAATAAAATCCAGGTGCCTAAAACAGTAGTTTTTCAAAAAAATAAACACAACGAGATATTAAAAAATATTTACTTTTGATCTGATTTCCGCCAATTTACTCAGTTTTGGACCGTCAATATCTGCAAATATTGTCTGATACCTAAATGCAAAAAAATAATTCATAAACGACATTGAAAATTTTTTTAACTAACCGTTCTAAACCGATTTCATTCAATTTTGCCGAAACATCATTTGCTTTCCACTGTTTCCAACTGGAAGATGATACTTGTGTTGTAGTTGATCCTTTATCTAATGTAATATTTAGAAAGTTTTGGGCCAATTTTTCGACGGTACTAGTAGAAGGAGGTACAGGAACATTTAGTTGTTTAACAGGTGATTCAATAGGGAAAGATTTAATTGAAGCTAAAAAATAGAAAATAATTTTACTATAAGAATTAAACAGAGAGAAGAAACTTCTTACGTCGTCTTTTTTGTTCTTCATCATCAGTGGCGATATGTGCTTTTACCTCCAACAACATTTCTTTGTACGCAATATCAAAAGTTTTTTTAGCAAAATTCACGTACATTTTCGTACCCAAAATAATTCCTAACCATCCCGTTGGCTTCCAATTGGGTTGTGCTATTAGTGGAACAATTTTTTTATTCTTTTGTATAGCATATTCAGCTTCCAAACGGCAACTTGGGCTATCTTTATATTTTTCTGTAATACACATAATAATAACAGTTGCTTGCTCAATCGCTTGTCTAGAATATTCACAAATTAATCATGTAGTTTGTAGTATTTCACATTGAGTTTTGACCCAAAAATGCTAGCTACCATCAGCAATTCGAAAATAAAAAAAAACAAACAACTTACGCCATTGCATCTAATAAATTTACATGCATATTTTCAAAATCAATCCAAACTAAAAATCCATCACGAATTAATTGTTCTTTGATTTTTTGTGATAATATTTTAGCATCATGATTATAACTAATCATAACGTGTTTTTGAGAAGCGGGTGCTGGTAGAGATGCTTTTTTCTTTGTTATGTTGCCCATAATTGTCCATAGACAACCACTAACAACACGTCTTAATTCATCACTGGATGTTGTTTCATTAATTGTGCATAATAATTCTTTTAATTCTTTATTATCATAACACTTGAGCCGTATTGATTCATCAAAACATAAACTCCATACTAATGTACTCGCTGAACATTGTTCTTCAAAATTTTGCTGTTTTAACATATTCATTATACATAACAATATGGAATCAGAGTAAATCTATAGTAAATGAATAAAAATAATTGAGTATTAGTTGGAAACATGGGTATTTTCTTACTTTTGGCTTATTCTTGTCACATACGGCTAGTTTCGATAAACCATTACACAATTCAAATGGTCTCATACCACTATAGCGTCGATCTTTTGTGACTATTGCTTCACGCAGAGCATGAAGTACGAAGATTATTGCTTCTGAAAGACGTAATATATTTGTATGTATGAGTGAATTGCATAGTCATTGTACGGTTGATTGTTAGAGAATGTTTTGCTTGTAAAAGCTATTTCGCTCAACAGATTTTAAATTTCTTTTTACTATCTTTTATAATGACAAGCTCATATAATTTTATTATTAAATTATTCTAATGTCGACGTTTCTACGTTTCTCACATCATTTTCGAGACAGAAGCAGTTTCAAAATACGAATAAATATATGTACATTAAAAACGTGAAGAGAGAACTGCTTCTTTTTTGAAAATGATGTGAGAAACATAAAAACGTCGATATTAGAATAATTTAATAATAAAATTATGTCAAAGTTCAACGCTGCTATTAATATAATGAGATTTATCTTTAAAATTTTACCCATACAAAAACACGGTTAATGACAAGCTCTAGATAGTAATACTCCTGAATTATTCGTAAGAAAGGTAGAAAGCAGCTTGCTCCTTTAGTACTTACGTTCGGCACTTTCTAAATATGATCTTTCATCTTCGGTGATTATGTAAGATAGCGTTAAATATGCCAATGCTCTAACAAAATCATGGGAAGTGTCCAATGTCAGTTTTTTCAACGTCTAACGTAAATCAAGCAAATTTATAATATATTTATTTACTTATTTACGTTTTCTTACCTCAATACAATTTTGTTTTTGTAAATTCGATTTAAGTTCTGGAATTTGTGCTAAATTATGCAGTATACTAATACAGCAGTTGAATAACGTAAGAACAGCCTAAAACTATAAATAAAATAAAGCTGCCAAGTATAACAGATACAGTCAACGCTTACCTGGCTTGTTTTCATATTGCTGATAAATTGCTCTTTACTAAGATTATGCACAAGAAGAGGTAAAAAATCAGCTTCCACAACAGCCTTTATAATAGAGAAAAACGAAGACAGTGAAATATTTTTTTTTAAACTAAAACATACTAGACACAGAGCTGGAGATCCTTCGGTATAGTTCCATAACGAATGAAGAATATAGTACGTGGTATGCCAAACAGTTTCTGTTTGAAATACATTATTCGAGCAATGTTTCAATAGTGGTTGACACAAAGCTAAAATTAATAAAAAAAAATCATTATGCTGCTCAAAATAATGTTTTATGTCTTGTTTATGTACCGGCATATTTTCTTTTAACTAATACATCATTAATTATCCGGTGAGATTGCCGAAATTGTACATACAAATTGTCAAAATATCTCAGAATTGTTACCGGACGTTCTGTTCCATATTCTTGTTTTGTTAAATGACTTAATTCATCTAACTTGGCATTGAGCTAAATGAACAATAAAACAATGGATTGATGTAGAAATAAGACATAAAGTTGATATCACACCTGTACAAGATCAACTGTTTCACTTGTCATCATTCATTATCAAACAGTGCAATGGAAATCTAGAAGTATTGACGTCTAAGTAATTCTAATTTCTTATCTGCTATATTCAGTCTAGTTTTGGTCGCCTAACTCCATCTGTTATTACATTTCAGTAGCGTAGCCAATATTTTTCTAAGGGCTTGGTCCAAATTCTTTTACCAAATTCTGTGCTTGAGTTTTGCGTATTGTTTAACTGCTATCTGGAAATTAATTATCATTTCTTATGTATATACTTTTTTCATTTTCCGTCAGCATTCTTTAGAATGTACGATGCTTAAAGTTCCTCCTTTCGCAAGACAGGTCCGCAACCGGAATTTTGGTATGGGGTGGGCATCTAGAAAAAGTTCCATATTTACTAGTTGGAATATCAATATAAAACTTTCAGTCTTTGAATATTATTATCAGATATACACTGTAGTGAAATCCTAAGGGGTGAGCACGTGCCCTGTGTGCCCACCCCCTGGGTATGGCCCTGTGGCAAGAGCTAGCCAGAGCGATGCAAACGAACAAATGTCGTTGATATCTGATATTTTATTTCATTCTTCCAGCGCAGTTTGAGTTTCGAAAGAGTGACTTCGGATCCTTAGGTACACTTTCTGGCTATGCCACAGTCGCATTTCATGAGTTTCTTCAACTTTACTTTGCGTTAGACTTGAAATTTAAGAAACGTACTGCTTTTACTTCCTTTCAAGGAGGTTTGTCTGTATCATCTCAGCCAAGCTTTCCTCATACTTTCTGTACTGCTAATAATGGTTCTATCTGAAGGAAAAATAACATGATCCGGCTGAGGTTAGAACCAAGGGCCTTCACAACCTGTGTATCTGCTCTTCGTATTGAACTAAGGGCTATCATTTGTCACACTATGATCATTCGAACGTAACAGATACCATTCAACTGTCTATTTCCTCTCTTCCTAAGATCGAAGCAGGGAAGAATACATACGCGCCCTTCACTCTTCTTGATGACAATGTACAGAACCGAACCAGACAGTCAAGTTGCAAGAAAAGGATCTGTGATTATGTCACCAGAATTGAAGAAGAAAAAGAACTTATATTAGCAGAATTATTCACCATCACTTTTTTAATTATTTTTGACTTTGAGTGTCCAATAAACACATTACTTGACCTCTCTCTACTGAATAACTTGCATCTTTGCCATAAAATAATTTTTAGGTAGCGTTCATACTAAACATTACAATTCTGTTATGTTTTCACTAGATCGGACGATAAGCTACAAACGACCTCTAGCACGACTTTGTCGTTTTAGCAGCCGATCGATAGAGTAGTAGTTGCGTGAATGAATAGGGGTAGCAAATAGACTCAATCAAAAAGCCAATACATTAGTTCTGAAAGTTCGAGTTCGACTAATATATTTTTCGTCTGGAAAAAGTTTGTGTTTAGAAAAACAGATCGATAGCTACGACGTTTTTCTGATGTATTCCGTTCTAGGAATATCTGATTTTTATTGGGTTCGTGCTTAATAACTTTTCAATCAGTTTCATGGATCGATCGGCTTATGTCTCGTCGTACTAAAGGAATTCTTTTATATTTTTTAGATCAACAATGGCTCACGCGTGTCCATCCGTTGGTATCGAATATTCCTCAGTTAGAAACATTAAAGAAGTTTTGCACGTCGCTTCATCTCAAAAGTATGTGTTGTTTCGTTTCACTTTCTTCAGCTCTAAATTGAATTGTGTGGTTTGCTTGAAATAGGTATGATTTTGTCGTTGTATCCATAATACGTACACAATATGGCTCAGAATTATTAAATTGTTATGGAACACATCAAAGTCGATGGCCACGCATAGCCAGTCGTCTCAAAGGCGTTGGTGAAAGTGCTGGTAAGCTCGTGTGTTTTTCGATAGACAACGTGTTTATCACAATGTTACTTATTTGATTATTTCAGAAATGTCCACAGCACTTGTGGCTTGTGTTAAACATGTAGCTGGTATCGATTCATCCAATAGAGAACGACGTGACAAAGCAAAAAAAGTAAGAAATATTCATCGATTTTGAAAAATCTATAAATTACTTTTTTTTGTTCAGTTGTTGATGGATGAATTGGGCATAGCACAATATTTTTCGGTTGCTCGTGTGGTTATTCGTGTTCGAAATTGCAACGTTGTGAACTTAGCTCGTATAGCATCCAGCACTTTAACCACGATGTACTTTGCGGTAGTATACGTTAAATATAGTTTTCCCTCAACCAACTGTTAGTTTATTTTGCATTTTTGTATCTGATGATGTCCTACCGTCATAATGTATCACTACTATACCGTTGTTCCATCAAATTTTAGCGGAAACTGGCTCCACTTAGAATCATAGGATGAATGAATAGTTTCATACGAAATCGGAGTACTAATCTCAGTATTTATAAAAGAATGCCATTGACCAAAAAAATGGTTAGCAGTTGAAGAATTATTGCTCAGCTAAAACTTCAATCGAGAAGTTACGATCTTTCTGACTTTGCCCTTTGAATTCCCGTCCTTTATCGATTGTTTTCCTTTTAGTATTGGTTTGTGTTTCCAACACGTGCCCGACAAAAACCAGATGGCACATCTTTCGACATCGATGAAGGTGATGAAGCTGAGTTAGAAACATGGCTGTGGTGGAATAAAATACAAAAATTGTGTCACTATCATGGGAAAGTGTATCCCGTCCTTGGTGAGGGTTAAAAGCGGTGAGCGATCCATATGCACGCGCACACATTGTTTTTTTTAAAGAGGAAAAATGTTAATATATCCTTTAATATTCTCAATGTTTATTTAGAATTATCAGCGGATGTTATGTCTGAAAAAGCACAAAAACGTTGGTTGGGCGAGCCAGTGCGAGCAATCATATTACCAACAAGAATATTTTTGTCAAATTCTCGAGGTTATCCAATATTATCCCAACCACATCAACAATTTATTCTGAAAATGATGAAAGTATGTCTCAAGACTAGTGAATCAATTATATACTGTTTGAACAAATTCATTTACAACGTCATCGTTTTCCTTCTATTTTTTCTTGGCTCTACTCAGCTACTACTTCTCATTTCTTATGTTAACAAACAACTGGTATCACCTGCTCTCGTCGTCAATAAACGAACACTTTTATTGGGAGGAAAGCAATGACGTTATAAATGACATTGTGTTTGTTTTTGTTTAGCTGAAAGTACAGTTTGTTATCAAAGGTATTAACCCAAATGATTCTGGAACTTTTGAACTTTATCAACAATACCTCAAACATATTACAAAAGTAAAAAGTCTAAAAAATTCTTTATATTCATTTCGTCAGTTTCCTATTATTTCTAGCAATCCGAACCGACAAATCGTGTTCTTGAGTCATTTACACATGGTTATGAAGATCGTTTACAAATACCATTGCAACCACTAGCCGATAATTTGGAATCTCGTACATATGAAATATTTGAAAAAGATCCAATTAAATATGTCCAGTATGAAATGGTATATGCAACTGATTATTTTTAACTAATCGGCAGTACAAGTGTATTTTCAATTCTAGGCTATTTATCAGGCTCTTGTCGATCGTGTGCCCGAAGCACAAATTGAGAAAACAACAGTGTAAGTGATAAAAAAACTCTTTTATTCACATACCTGGATATAGATTCAGCATCTTTTTTCCTAGTATTAGATAAAATTCGAGGGAAGAAGGAATCGATTTTGGCACGTGCATACTTGAAAGATTAAAATTCGCGTAGGATTGAGAAAACTATTAACATCGCAGTTTGATCGATTAATTTTCGACGTTGTTGCATCAATAAGTAGCCACAAATGTCTATTCTAAAAATCTTTGTTATGTTGAATTCGTATCCATTTTCTGCTACGACATGAAATCTGCATTGGTTTTATCTTCTACCAAAGTTAACATTTTGCTACTTTATTATAGAGTAATTATGGTTGTGGGAGCTGGACGTGGACCACTGGTAAATCGTGCTATACTTGCGGCCGATAGTTCAAAACGAAAAGTTCAAATATTTGCTGTTGAAAAAAATCCGTTTGCAATTATTTCGTAAGTTAAATTTGTTTCATGTTAGACTACTCTAATTTAGTTCTCTTTATAGATTGTATTCTCAAAAAGAAAAATGGGGTAATCGTGTAACAATTGTGAATGAAGATATGCGTAATTGGCGAGCGTTTTGTAAAGCTGACATATTAGTGAGTGAATTATTGGGTTCATTTGGTGATAATGAACTTTCACCAGAATGTTTAGATGGTGCTCAACGTTATCTAAAAGGTATTGATCCGTTTTTTTATCCGAAAATATTTATATATTTTCTATTCTTATTAGATGATGGAATAAGCATACCGTATACGTATACATCTTATATTTGTCCTGTACAATCACCAAAAATTTATTCTGAATTAATCTATAACCATGATGCGAGTAAACCACACTATGTAAGTTTGATTAAATTTGCAACTACTTTTTAAAAATTTTGAGTATTTTTAATTTAGGCCAATTTTGAAACTCCATTTGTTGTTTACCTTTACAATTGTTGGTATATGACTGAACCTAAAGCCTTGTTCACATTTACACATCCGAATCGTTCTGGTATAACAATGTTTGCTGACATATGATTTCTATAGTATATCTGAATATAACTTTTTTAGCTCATATTGATAATTCACGATATGAAGAAATTGAATTTTCAATAGCAGAAACGGGAACTATGCATGGTTTAGCTGGATTTTTTGAAGCAAATTTATATAAGGATATAATAATAAGTATGTTTCAATGCAGGACTTTATCCTGTTAAAATATCTTTGTTTTTCAATTTTTAAGGTATAAAACCAGATACACATTCGAAACATTTAATTAGCTGGTTTCCAATGTTTTTTCCATTTCGTGTAAGTAATTTGTTAATGGTTTTATTTATATTCGTTTCACTTTGTATTCAACTGTCTCGAGTAAAATATCTGCAATTGAAACACATAAACAGCAAGATATAAAAATAATTCTTATAGCAAACTTGTCTGCTCTATCGTATTTTCTTTGTTTATTTAAGATTGCATAGTGGAATAACTATATCATTCTGTAGTTTATATCTTATATTATTTTTAGGAGCCAATAACGGTAACGAGCGGTACAAAAATCAAAGTTAGCTTTTGGCGTTGTTGTTCAGCATCTCATGTCTGGTATGAATGGACAGTATCTGAGCCTACAACATTACCAATACATAATCCAACAGGACGAACAGTTTCAATTGGACTGAAATAATTTGACGGAATTTTCATCACTATGTAATCCTCAATAAAACTAGTGTTACTATGAGAATTATTATCTTTTGTACACATTCACCTTCCGGTGTATGTATGTTTTCTTTCGTCATAAAGCAGTTTTACGAAACGAAGAAAGATTCCATGTTGTGATTATTTATTTCTGTTATTTTTTTCTCATATTAGGTATGTTTGTGTGTATATGTGTTTTCGTCTGTTTTCTATTATAATTTTTTTTTGTTATATTTCTAAAAACATGATGCGTTTAACGTGACGAAAATTCAGCGGTAGTAGCTCTGTGATTCAGAGCGATGTACACTGTATCTTTTTTGTTCGTTTTGTTTTCTACACTTGCATAAATCTATATGATGTTATGTTGTTGATTGTTTGCTGTGTATACTGTACATCTTTTTTTGTAACTGATCATCACTTATATCCGGTGATAAAACACCTTTTTTTAAGCAAAAACGAGAAAAATAAAGAAAAATAAATAAATATTATTAAAAAAAGTGTGTAGGTAATACTCAATGCTTAATAAATATTACAACACCATTGGAAGATAATATCACTCAAAGATGGGCAAATCCAAGTTCGGAGTTGAACTATTGGTTGATGGAGTTGAACTTGAGTGAGACTTGAAAGTTTCTTTAACTTCGTTTGAAGTCTAAGGAAAATGTATCGTATTCAGGAACAGGGTCAGTGAAATCTTATATGTAATTTAGTCTCTCTCTTTTTCATCAAATATATATCTAATGAATAATAATGACAAAATAAACAAATGTTCTATATTTGTTTCTTATTTGTTGTTTTTATTCTTGTTCTCATTTAATATTTTACGTTTTAACTATATTTCTAATAATCAAGCACACATTATCAAGCACCGTCGAAAAAATGATTGAGGACGTCTCAAAAATTTTTCCTTAATAATGAAAAAACACGTTAAACAGCGCTGTCACGGATGGATCAGAGAAGATTAGGCATGCATCGGTTATAATCGATTGAAATGATGCACTTTTTTCACAAATTTTTTTTCTAACAATTGGATTTTGTAGAGCAAACATTTTTCTACAAGATGAGCTATTCTTCGTCTTGATTCCATGCTTATAAAAACAAGATTTAAAAGTCTCCTGATTAGTTATAACCGATAGAAAACATGAAAGCTTCCGCCATAGCTCATCATGTAGAAAAATGTTTGAAAGAACGGGGGCGACTATTTGATGGAATCGACCCCTGCTTGAATTCCATCGACACATACATGGTTAGATGTAGAATGACCAAGAGAACATTTCTAGCCAGTCGGCAGATCTTAGAAATGCCACTACGATAGATATACCATTCAACAGAGAATTTCTCGCACTACAATTTCATGTATATAAAATAGTGACAAAAGTGTCATAGGGCACCTTAACATTATAAATATTTTCTAGGAAACCGTGACAAGTGGGTGACTCTGCAACGGTGCGGAGCCTGTGATTAACGTTTGTCAACTAACCACTACGATAGATATACCATTCAATAGAGAATTTCACGAGCTTCAAAATGGTATACAAATAAGTCGTTTAGAAATATGCCCTCATCGGTCAGCAGTTGAAATCGAAGTTCCCCATCTCTGAAAAATTCTCCATCTTTTGGTAGTAGAATGGAGTCTTCAGACTTCATATAAAAACAAAAGTGATTTATCTTCTCTAGGCATGCACCTTTTCATGCACTTTTACGGGGCATTAAAATTCTTTTCATGCTCGAAATCCGCTGAACAATCGAATGTAGAAGGTTTTGTCGAGCAAAAAATCACAGAGATGGACAACTCCAGCAGAAGTTGAAATTGGCAATTTCGGAGTTGAGCG